CTGATAGGGACATCTGAGACGTAGTTTCGATGAACTGTCACCATGTGTTCTGATAGTTAGTTGGTTGTGTATCCGATGAGGTTGTGTGAGATGTGTAATGAGTGTATTGGATTGTGACAGTGTTAAGAGTATTTTTGTTGAATTTTGTGTTTCAGATTATATTGGATGAAGCGATGGGGCGACATGGTTTGTTCTTGGTAGCGTGATTTGTGGTAAGTGATTCTCAGTGTTTTGTGTATGCATATTGATGTAGTGAGGGAGGGAGAGAGATGAAGTGTGTGTGTGTGTTTGTTTGGTTGTTTTGTGTTTGGAGTGGGCGTATGCATATTTTGATGATGTGATCCTCTGTGAAAGGCGTCTGTATGTGCTATAGTCACTGGACGTAAGAGGCAGAGGTAAATTAAGGTATGTGGTGACGAGCTGTGCTTTGTGTTGTTCGTCACCGTACATTGGAAGTGTTTGTTGAGTATGTAGTGTGTGTGTGTGTGTGTTTGTTGGTGGTGAGAGCGTAGTTATTGTGATGAATGGGATGACTGTTGTGAGTTTGAGTGGTAGTTTTTGGGTGAGCCTCCTCCTAGTGAGTGTGATGATACAGCCATGTTGGAATGACTTTTGTCAAATTCCATTTGCTAAGGAACCACTGATTGATTGATTTGTGATGTGAAGGTGAGGAGATGAGTAACAATTTTATTTTCTCCTATTTGTTTGTTTGTTTGTATTCCAGTGTAGATGGTGAGTGAAGAAGAGTCGTTCGTTGTATTGGGAGAATGATAGGTGTGGTTTCGAATTCAGGTGAGTGTCTCTGTGGTATCCAGTGTGTGACTGACTGAGTGTGATTGGACTGTGAATTTAGTGTTATTTGTGTGATGAATGATTTCTGATAGGGACATCGGGGACTTAGGCACTGGACGTATGAGATATATTCATAGTGTTTTTTTGATCTTCTGGTGTATTTTTATATGTTTCGACTCGTTTTCTCTCTTATTGTTAGTTTGTTATGTTTTCATGAATATTATGTAACTTGTTATTGAAAGGAATTCACGTATAATGTATCGATTGTATTGGTATGATTACCGAGACCATCATAGATCTGTCGTGGAAATTTTGTAAACTGGATTGATTGGGCTCTTTTATGCGGTGTTTTTCTTTGATGATTTGTCGGATTCATATTCGGCTGTTCTACTGATTCTGTTATCTGTTTTGTTTGACTAGATATGCATCTTAACGGACGATACACAGGTTTGCTCCTTTGATATTCTCTATTGATAGCGACAATTTACATTTCTTTTGTGGTTGTGTATATTCATCACTGCTATGTCGGATGTTAATTTGGCATATGCTACTGACAAAATTTATGAGTAGTATGTAAGTCGACGCTTATCTGAACACAAAGATATTAACTAGCGGAGAGATAGATTCTACGTCATGGAGAGGAGATTATTCGGAGGTGCGGTGAAACATTGAAGACACGAAAAGAAGTTCACAGTACGAAGGGCAAAAATAGCAAAAAAATACACAAAAGATCAGTGTAGATGACTATTGTGATAAAAAGGTGTAAAAATTCTAAATAAACATTCCTTTACCAAGTCTCTTGTCTTCTACCGATACAATAAATAGCCTAAATCATTTTATTGTTGAATAGATGTCAGCGTCGAGTTGTTGTTGTGTTTGTTTATTCATGATCAAATATTGTAATTAATAGAAGAATGATTATTGAACAAAAAATATTCACTATCTTATGGTCAACTATGGTAATACTTCAAATTAAACTTATCGTTTACAATAATCATGAGTCGATGCGATAGATTCTTTGAGTTCCCTTCAAGAAATCAAGACCTGGTTTCAGACAGAATTGGGACGTTGCGAAACCACGAAAGCTATCCTACGTCCCAATGTCACATCAGTTTTTTAATCAGAACGGCCCATCCTGTACGCCTCACAACAACTAGGCAAAACTGAGCTGGGAAGATTAGAAAAAGCTGGCGTCGCAACTCCTGCACTCCAAGGAGCTGCTGAAAAGGCACCAGAGCCTCAGAAACCAGCACTTCGTAAGTCATCTTCGGAAACAGCAGCACTACTGGAACTACTCAGTGCAAAGACACCTGTAGAAACACCAAAAGTCCATGCTTCTGTTGCATCCAAACCAACAGCTCAAATCCCATCACCTCTAAATAACTGAAACAGTACTGCAGCTTATTTCTAGAAAGGTGACCTTGTCTATGCTCCACATTATCGTCCAGGAAAGACGAAATGTATTGGAGGTCGGATTAAGGTTACACGTGGAGCAGTAGTTTATGAAGTGGAAGTGGGAAATGAAGCATAGATGAGATATGAAAAGGAATTGCGACAGTTCTACCGAGACATTATCAAAACCTGAGATACCCTTAAATTTCTTACTTGATACATTTAAACTACCTCCAGTGAAAACGAAAGGGATAAAAGTGGGAGTCACAGAGCAAGAAGGAATCTCAGCCCAGAAGGCAGTCCAATCACAAGAGATCCCTGATAAACGTTTCCAAGTTGACCCAAAGAAGAATAGGCACCAATTATTTTTATTCTACACGTTTATGTTGTTTTCTTTGATAGGGGAGGTGATATACAGACCTAATTTCTTACATGTCTGTTTGTATTTCTCTCACCCTACGATATGACCTCTGAAATCCCATTGGTTGTTCACTGTTTTAATTTATCACTGCCATTAGGGTCTCTGATGGTCATTTAAAAGCATATATATATTTACGCAAGCTCTGTCAATCCTTTTTTGATTGTTGTTTGACACACTAAAAGCTCTCTTGTCGACGTCCAGTCTTCTTCTTCTTCTTCGCCTGTCTTTGCTTACCGGAGGTGTTATTGTTTGTTGTTGTTGTAGTTGACGTGTGATTAGGACAGATCAGCCAGCACGTTAATTTGGTATTCGCTCATAGTCTATGAGGCTGCAGTTCCGGTCGAAACACTTTCACCAATCAAATCTATACAACGCATCACTTATGAATTCAAATCTAAAACTGCATAGCCTGTCTTTAATTGCTTGTCACGGCAAAGGTAAACCTATCATAGCCAAAACCGCAGTGACTTCGCACAAGCAATCAGAACTCAGATGCACAAAAGTTGTCAAAATTTTTGAGAAATGCACTTTAAAAAAAGTATTGCAAACTTGATATTACACCGTATAGTTGTAGCTGATGTATTGTAAGGATATGTCCCAGTCAATATCACATGATCTATGTAGAAATCGTATCATGTGCGATATACCCATAGTCATCCAAGTGACTGTAGGTCATGGTAATTTGAGATCCAGTTGGTATTTTTGGCACTGTTCTTCAGCCTACTCCTAACCCTAGACCGTCAATCGTAATCTAAAAAAGCCATGACCCTACACAACAGTATAAATTTGCAAAACAAGTACCTAGTAAATACGTAGAATACTGTATCTACCCTGTCCAAGTTCAAAAAGACAAGCATAACTTGATGTGGAATGATATTTCATTGATATTTCTTTGTGTCCAATCGGCTCTTGAAGGTCAAATTTTGAAAAACCTTGACTTCGGCTACGATACTTTTTTGGTGAGAGCTGACCGCTAGCCCAAATTGGTAGGCCGTAATTTGCATCGATGTTTACGTCCCCAAAATTGGTCGTGAGAAAAATAAAAAGAAAGACTGATCCAATAATAAACCACAGCAGACATTGCGTAGGTGGATACAATTTGCAGATTGATAATTTGAACTTCAATAAATGACCGCAAAGAGATGAAAGATTAACGTTCAGCGACAAACCACCAATCAGAAGACTGCGTTTGTTTGCTTACAATAATCTATAATACTAATGTACATGAAAATCTATAAATATATGTTGATTTCCTAAATATAGACGATCTGTTGTCTGACGCTTGTCTCCTATTGTTGCACTTAAACTTCGGCCTTGCCACAATGTACCGCTTGTTTTAACTGACTGCGTTACATTTGAAATAAGATTGAATAAATAACCCATGGTCAAGATTATATAGATATATAAATGTATATTATTTGATTAAAACGAATAAAAAGAAGGATTTATCACCCGTAATTTCAAAAGAACAAAGAGAACTATATAATATCATATAGAACATGGTTATGTAGAAATAAAAAAAGCAGCCGCCTTGTGACAGTGTGTTGACAAAAAAAGATTCTTGCATTCGAATAAAAAGACACGGAGTGAAGGGAACCAAGTGTCTATAATACAATCCTAATGCATATATATATATATATATATATAAATTTCGTTGTTTAAAAAGTAAAATGTCCTCATACAGACCAAAGAAAAAAAATTTGATAGACTAGCACAGGGTGGATTGGAAAAAAGAAGCCTTGACAACAAGTAAACCTCAACAATGACATGCATGTTTTATTTTGGCAGAGGAGAGAATTGAACCAAACGTATTGCAGAAGGATTGTTTCATTGGTAGTTGTGCAGGGATGAGCTACTCATGTGACTCACAACACCAGCATTCGTGAAAGAAATTGTAGATATATTTTTGAAATAATAAATAAATAGTTATTATACTTAGCACCTTTAAAATCCTACTAGTTTGTTTGTTTGTCTGTGTGTGTGTGGGGGGGGGCGCTCAAAAAAGCCAAAACAAACAAGAAATTTGTTGAAATTTCAAAGTGTTGAAAATATGAGCTAAACAACTTGGCAAGAGAACTTTTTATTATTAATTATTTAAAACAAAAGCCTAACAAACTTGTCAAAGAGATTACAAAAGACAAATTAACTTCGAAACAAAGAAAGGTTAAAACCGAAAGGAGTTAGACAATGACATGGTGTGATGATCCGATGTGATCAGTAGAATATTACTGATCATCCATCAAATTAATGAATAATAATTTAATTGATTTAGTTGAGATTATGAAGTGTATTCACATTCATGAATGAATAAGAAGAGAAATGCTGATGTCTTTATTATTATTACTACTACTCATAATAATAATAATGAAAAGAAAACAGAATGACAATTTTTTTCCTATGAGGGTGGTAATGAATCACTATAGCTCGGTGGTGGTTCACTGCCTATCAATGAACGTGGAACAGTTGACAAGGTATAATCAATACCGTCTAGTGTTCTATCTTCATGTAAGTATTGATCTAATGCACCAACAGACGCTGCCATTTCTAGACGTGTAGCTTCAGCGTCCTCTTCAGATAAACTATTCAACATGCTAAACATATTGTCATTGTTTCTTTCCTTGTGTGTAGTGTTTTTGTTGTTTATTGTCGGTGAGATGCTGCTTTCTTTCTGATTATAATATCTACTACTGTTATTATCATTAGTAGTAGTAGCAGTAGTACTACAAGTAGTTGTTGTTGATGATGATGATGGTGGTAATATGACCAGTTCATTGTTTGCATTAACTGATAAAATCAATGATTGTCGACCTTCAGGCATAGAAGTTAGACGAGGTGAACCAACTCGTGAATGACATCGATACATGACATTCTCTTCTAAATTATCACATGAAATTGCATTTGTATTATTACTATTATTGTTGTTATTAGTTGTTGTAATATTATTATGATTACAATCCCCATTGAATAATGGATGATTCTCCATACATAAAAACATTGATGTATTTAAGGCGTTCGCTTGTACCAGACCAGAGTATTTGACAGCATTAACAACAGCAGTAGGTGAATAACACCGACAACAGGGTATAGCACGTTGTTTATAAAAATTCCAATTACGAAGCAGTTGTATTGCACTTGTTGCTGAGGCATTATCTGAACCATCAACAGTTTGTCTGTTTACTGACTGAAAGTGAAAAATAGAGGGTAAATGAGAGAAACAAAAGTATATCAAACCAAAGCCTAATGACTATTAATATATGCGTAAAACCTGGGCACTGTGGTAGTAATACTAATTGGAAGACCTTGGCGGTCTGTTTAAATATTTTTGGGCTACCACATTCCATGTACATTTTGCATCTATTTACTCGTATTTTATTGGTATTTACATATCACATTATGCATTCTAATCGTATTATCCACTCCGGGATTTTATAAAACGTTTTAAACCCAAAAACTTTCATATTTGCAATAAACTCAAGAAAAAGCACCATGGAGGTTGGCAGCGTGCCTTAAAATCTACACCCATACATCACACCACTGTTCCAGTTATCATTAGTACCAACTGCCGGTCCCTGCCTAATAAAATTCTGGATTTTCAGTCTCTGTTGTCTTCTAGTACCTACCACAATACTGGTATTGTCACTCTGCAAGAAACCTGGCTCCATGACTCATACGATGACAATATTGTGTCTCTAAACAATTTCAATGTTTTTCGACAAGACCGTGTTTGTTCCAAGAAAAAATGTGGTGGAGGTGTTGCAACTTTTATTCACTCAAAATGGTCCATTTCAAACAAAGTTTGTTTCAAATTCTCGAATGACTTCATTGATTGCATCACTGTGAGATGTCGCCCGAAACACCTGTCAAAATACAAATTCATTTATATTTCTAATGTTTATGTCTCTCCTGGCTGTACCATATTGGATTTATCTATGTTCGCCGATGAATTCACCGCTTTTGCTGCAGCTTGTTTCGAGAACTCTTTATCAATAGTAACTGGCGACTTCAATGGAAGCGATTGCTCCTTCCTTATATCACTTGGTCATGACAATATTGTCAACTTTGCCACCCGTCTTGGTAAAAAACTGGATCTAGTATTCATCAATGATGTTGGTATATATGAAGCTCGCAAACGTGCTCCTCTACTTAATTCTGACCACTGCATCATACGTGTACTGCCTAAAATATATTCCAAATCACACAAAGGTGTCCTCTCTCACCTCTACAGTAAAGTTCAACGGAGATGCTACTCAAAAGACAACCTAGACAAGCTCAGATGCATGTTGAAAGACACTAACTGGGACTTATTTACAGAACAAACATTAGATGAAACAATCACAAACACTACCGATTATCTTAAATTCTGTTTCGAAATATGTTGTCCTAAAGAAACATTATTCATTCGATTTGATCGCTTATCTTCGCCATATCTCAAAAAGCTACGTAGAAATAAAGAACTGTTGTTCAAAACTAATGATAAGCCTGGTGTAAAAAAGTTAAACATGCTGATAAAACTGGAAATAAAAAGACTAAGTGTTTTATATAATCAAAGATTTTTGTCATGTAAAACCCCTTCTAATTTATGGAAACTTTTCAAAGAAATTACTAACGGTAAGCGATGTATTTCTGTTCCATCTCTTAATGTTGACACTCTTAATAAATCTTTCATACGCTCTTCTGTTGATACCCTTCCAAATGATACAAATCATATTGACAATAACTTTAGTGGTTTTAATACCCTTGATGTGCTTAAATGTCTCCGGTCTCTTAAGCCTTCTCAAAGCCTTGGTCCTGACGGCATACCTGCCATTGTCCTCAGGAATTGTGCTGATATTTTGTGTTATCCTCTTACTAACATTTTTAATGCCTCTTTTTCCGGTAACGTTCTACCTTTTGCATGGAAAAACATTAAAATTATCCCTATACCAAAACCATCTTCTGGTTCTGATATTAAATTTCGGCCTATTGCAATTACTTCCCCCTTTTTAAAATTGATGGAAAAATTACTTTTACTTCGTCTTGAACCCGCTTTGAAACCTTTTAATGATCCTAAACAATTTGCATACAAACATGGTAGAAGTACCTTGGATGCTGCGGTTGTCTTATATCACAATGTTGTCTCTTGTTTAGACAAAGGTGCTAAATATGTTCGTAGTGCTTTCTTAGACTACACATCTGCTTTTGACTCTGTACCTAGGGGCCTTTTGTTAAATAAGCTATCGTTGACACAAACAGGATCCTGGGCTAAGAGTTGGTTGCATTCCTATTTTTCTGATAGAATGCAGTATACTGTATATAACGGCAAATCTTCTTCTACCTCGCTTACAAAATCCGGTGTTCCACAAGGTGCTGTCCTCTCTCCTTTTCTTTTTTCTTTCTTCCTACATGACCTACCTCATTCAAACGAAACTAACTTTGTCAAATATGCAGATGATCTGACTGTATCACTGCCTATCACTTCCGAGTCTGACAGCTCCAAACTTAATAGCTTTCTGTTGGACATCAACAACTGGTCCAAGTCAAATGGTCTTATATTAAATCCTTCCAAATGTCAGGTGCTTGACTTTACTTTCAAGCATCGACGTGACTTACTTGAACTAGTTAACTCGCATGATCCCTGTAGCATAGATGGCACGGAAATTGAAACCAAATCAAGCATTAAATACCTTGGACTAGTTTTTTCCTCTGACCTTTCATGGTCATCCCATATCTTATCTATCTCTAAGAAAATGTTTCGTCTTACCTTCTACATTAAAAAGTTAAGACAATCAGGTATCAACCAACCTTTAGTTTTGCAATTTTTAAACTCCTGTATTTTACCTATTGTACTCTACTGCTCTCCATTAATCTTTCCTGGGCTTCTCAAAAAAGATTATATCATATTACGAAGAGTATTAAATGCTGTGAGTAGAGCTTGTGGTCTGCCACTGCATGAGCTCGCTAATACTATAGTCGAGAGGCATATAAATTCCTGTACGAAATGGGCAAAGGCTATAATGTCAGACCCTCTGCACCCCCTTTATTCACACCTGTCCCCTTGTATCTCATCAGGTAGGACGAGAAGTCAATATAAAAAGATATATGCTCGTACTACTAAGTATAGAAATTCTACAATACCCTATTTAGCGCGTACTTTATGTGACGAAGACTCTGTTAGACGTGAAACTTACAAGTTACTATGTAATTAGCACAGTGAATCGACCCTTTTATCGTTCATCTTTCTGTATTTTATGGTGTCACACTTTCTATCGTTTAAATCGTTACTCTGCTATTTTATTTTAGTTGGTATTACTATTATTACTACAATTTTGTACTTTATACATATTTTTCTCCGTATGGCACACAGTATTTTGCTACGTAGCTGCTACAACAATCGTTTTATTACTATTATGTAATGTGTATTTTTAATTTTTTTTGTCGTTTTTGAGTAAATTAGATGCAATATTGTACTGAATGCTGAAAATTCCTTGCTGTATCATGAGTACTGTTTTTGGAATAAAGCAATTATTATTATTATTATTATTAAAAAAGCAATTCCACATTAGTTTGTTTATTAGATGTATTACACAGTCTGTGAAACAGTATTATTTACTGGATGACGTTTGGAGCAAAGTGTATTGTTCACAATCCTGTCAATTATAATCAAACGACTTCGAAACTTGAGTTTTATCGTTGTTTTCTTTATCCTCGGCTATTTGTCGTCGTCGGCGTAGTAGAATATTCCAGATATCTGGGACGGCTGTTGAATCATTTCTATTACATGTATTTTCATTCAGTTTATTCGATAAACAAAGCTTCCGTTGTTATCAATCTCTCCCTCCACCCTGTGACATTTGATTTTAAAATTGTCATCTTATCCCATGGGTCCTATTGTATGGTTGTGTGTAATTGCACTTGGTGAGTGGTAAAGCTGAACTGTTCTCCAGATTTCTTATCTTATTCGGGTCAGCCAATCAAGATTTTGCTAGTTTTTTATGTTCGGCTAGTCTGACCGCAAGCAAGGAACCTTGGAAGCGTTACGCAGAATTCCTAGCAAGACAGGAATAAAAGTGGCCGGCATTCAAACCATCCACAAACTCAATTAGAAACAAACTTTGTCGGTTAAAGGATCCTGTGGAACAGCACATTAAACAAAACAATTTAGTTTATCTAATACCCTGCCTGCAATGATTGTCAGTTTAAATACACTGGTCAAACTAGTAGAACAGGGGGAGTCAGACTAGCCGAACATAAAAAACTAGCAAAATCTTGATTGGCTGACCCGAATAAGATAAGAAATCTGGAGAACAGTTCAGCTTTACCACTCACCAAGTGCAATTACACACAACCATACAATAGGACCCATGGGATAAGATGACAATTTTAAAATCAAATGTCACAGGGTGGAGGGAGAGATTGATAACAACGGAAGCTTTGTTTATCGAATAAACTGAATGAAAATACATGTAATAGAAATGATTCAACAGCCGTCCCAGATATCTGGAATATTCTACTACGCCGACGACGACAAATAGCCGAGGATAAAGAAAACAACGATAAAACTCAAGTTTCGAAGTCGTTTGATTATAATTGACAGGATTGTGAACAATACACTTTGCTCCAAACGTCATCCAGTAAATAATACTGTTTCACAGACTGTGTAATACATCTAATAAACAAACTAATATGAAAGCCAAATGACCTTGAACCAACCAATCAAATCGCTCAGCATTATAGATAGAATGGATGTTTTTCATCATCTTTTTCTGGAAGTTTCATCCTAACTCAGAGTTAATTTTAAGATAGGTTTATGAGTAAGATTAGAGTGAATCTGACAACTGAGATTATGAAAAGCATCTATTGGTGATGCTTCTAGATCTGATTGGTCCATGCAAGGTTATTCGACTTCGGTGTCTATTCTCTACACTTTTCATGGTTAGATGTATAGAATTGACTGATTTAACCTTTGTGTACACATTTGAGATGAGTTAATACTTTTTTTATTCATTTTTAAAGATTCTAAAACATAACTCATTATTACTTTTTTTTAAACAGTGTCTGTTCACTCAGTCTTTAACAGATAGGTATTTTCAGGATTTCATCATGAGCTGAGATTAGTTAGAGAACGATTGGAAAACCTGGGAGTACTGGACAGCTGTTTCGTCCTAGTTAGGTATTTTGTTTCCCTCATCTCAGTGAACTGAAGACTATACGTCTTTATTTTAACTTTATTTACCTAAATACGGAACATTTGCTAATTTCTAGGTTTAAATGTAATTACCTTGTTAAACAGAAGTAGTTCTCAGAAGGCAACATAATATTATTATATTTTTAATCAGTGACCACAAGAAAAAAGGAATACTGAACTGTACTCATTAGAAAGTCTTAGTTCAGCAGTGAATACTGAATTATGTTTATTATTATTATGCACCTTCTTATAGCACAAAAAATACATTTAGGCTTAAAGTAAATAAATTAATCGAAGTAGATATACCTAAATGAACTTCTAACCCACCTGCATTTGGATGAATTAGGTATTTGAAGTTTCGTTTTAATGTGTATGGATACAAGACCAGGGTTAAAGACAATCTTTTGTTCTTCCTTTTGGTGCTTGTATTACACACAGTCTCAAATTCTGTAATACAGTCATGCTAGCTAGATTAGTTTATGCATATCTTTCCCGCAAATGCTCTTAATGTTTTGTTCTATTTAAATATAGATATTGTTTACGGGATTTCATCATGACATTGGTTAGAGAACCACTGGAAAACTTGGGATACTGGACAATGTCAGCTCATGATGAAATCCTGTAACCAATCAAATCCCTAACAAACCAACACTTGAATATCGTTAGCGACTTGCCCTATTCAGGTAGGTAGTTGTTACCTGGGGTTCTAGTGAGAAGTCGTGAGCAGTACGGTGCACTAGGTTGGGTATGAGGACAAATACTCGCCACTGAAGACATTGCCTAGCAGTCGCGTTATGTCGTGAATTGCAGAAGTTAGAATTCATGGGCTGGCCATTGGATTGGGTCCCAGTGGCTTAATGGTATACGAGCTCGCCAGAAGGTCCTGGGTTCAAACCCTGTCGACCGGTGCGTACTGATGAAGAGTCCCAAAATAGGGCGAAACAAATGTCCAGTACTCCCAGATTTTCCAATGGTCCTCTAACTAATGTCGGCTCATGATGAAATCCTGTAACCAATCAAATCCCTACAAACCAACACTTGAATATAAATTTTGTTTGTTTCTAAATAAGTGAACCTTTTTAATTGGTGTTTAACTATGCGTACTTGCAGTTTAGGTAAGGTGTACACTGATCAAGTAGGTGTTTGAGAATAATCTGCTTATTAAAGCTTCTATCTGTAGCATAACATATGAATAATACAACCCGACTCTTAAAGTATATTTGTAATGATTACAAATTACTGTTAAGTTTCAAACACTGAAATTGTGTCAATCACTGATTTATACTGCTTCAAATTCTCACATGGTATCCACACTATACATCTTCTAAAAGTCAACAAAGCAATAAATTGTGTTCGACGAGTTATACAGTAAATAATACTGAATTACTGTGTGTTTATCAAGTACAGGGATTTGATTGGTTATACAAGACCTCATCATGAGATGAAGACTCCCGAACTAGGAAGAAGCAGCTAGTTGTCCAGTACTCTTGTTAGTTTTTCAATGGTTCTCTAACCAATATCAGCTCATAATGATATCCTATTCATCGAGTGTTGGTTCTCAGGTATTTGACTGGTCGCAGGTTTGATCACAGGTAACATCAGTTAGAGAACACCTGGAAAACTTGGGAGTACTGGACTTCCAGTGATAAATTGTAATCAGCGGAGTCCATCCAATAAGTCAGGTAAACGAAAAGTTACTCCCCCATGATGTTGCCTGGTGATCGCGCTAGACAAATATATATCGCCAACTGTCAGAATTCGAAATTCATAGTCCATTATAATCAGATCCTAGTGGCTGAGCGGTCTACAAGCTCACCTTATAGTAGGGAGATCCTGGGTTGTAACCGAAGTGAGAGTATATTGCTGAGGAGGAACCAAACTAAGGCAGAACCATGACATTAATTACTTTCAATACACGCCTAACCTCTAGTGAAACCGTAAAACATCATGGCTATATATTTTCATATTAGATTACACCAGTTAAATACATCTCATCAAATATAGTGAAATTGTTTACTTTTAAACATCCTTAGTATTATTTTTTTTGTTTTTCATCTTCATTTGCGATTACTCACTATAGTGTGTCGATGGTTTAGTTGTAGAATGCTCGCAAACCACGCACATGGTTTGAAGTTCGATACCCAGCCGACGCATTTATGCACCTCGCTTAACCGGCAATCAGGCCGGTTAAAACGCAGAGAACGTTGGGGGTTAGGCTAGCAATCTCACCTCGCAAAAAAAAGAAAAAACTCCACTACCACTGAAACTTCAAAGCTCCACCTTGAGGACCTACATTTCACTAGGAACACAAAGGAATAAAAGGAAGATAAATACAAATAAACACATAACATGATTATATAGCGTATAATACAGACAGACGCAGAAACCTACATTCATCAATTCATTCTGATCATCTTGTGTATATAAACTGAGTTCAGTGGAATTATCATCCAAAAAGTGTTGTTGATGTCCTGTTGAAGTTTGCTGTAACTTTTGTTGTTGTTGTTGCCCACTGAATGAAGGATGATACAATAAACCATGCAGTGAATTTGAAGACATATCATTAAATAGCGAATTAATTGGATCTTCTGGTAATATTTGAAGGAAACCATCTTTAGAATGATCTTCACAATGATGATGATGACGATGATTTAAATACACTTTTCGACGATTATGCTGATGAAGAATTTCACCAGTTTTATTTCGACTACTCATATCATTATTTATAGTAGTAGTAGTCACTGGTAAATTTGTTGAAATTTTTCGTTGACTACATATAACCGATAGACTAAATGTAATTATAAATAATATAGCTAAGAATATAATAAATAAGGCTAATATTAATGAACCAGCAATCCATAAAATATGATAACCACCATTATATAATGGATATTTCTTAGAATTCATTGATTTGAATGATTGTATAATGATATTATTTTTACTATTGATCATACGATTTCGAACACTAGTCATATTTAGTATAGGATAACCAAGTGAATTAAGACGAAGAATTTGTATAGAATTATTCCTACTTTCATTGAACCAGCTTACTTTACGTTGACAAGTAGATCTGAGTAGATTTTGATTTCGAATTGTAAATAAATATATATCATCAAGGCATATATTACTTGTACTTAGGATGTTTAATGATTGAACACTATCATAAGCTATCCATTCATCTGATTGTGCTATAATATTGCTTAATTTTCTTTCATCGTATTCATGTTCATCTATGTATTGATTGTTGTATGCAGTATTTTCAGTATAATTATTAGTAGTATATATAGGTATTGTGACATTTATCCATATATTATTGGGTAGAGTATTATTATTATTGTTATTATTTTGTAAATCTGATATCTGTTCTTTAAAAATTGACCAATCTAACCGAGACATTGTTCTCCAAGTGTACGGTGATGTACTACTCGATGGTGATGAATGATCGCGTTGCTCATCTTCATCAATATCATATACTTGATCGTTATAGCTATAGTCATTTGGATCATCAGTGTTGAGTAGAGCTCGAATAGTTTGTTTATTTGATCTGTAGCAAATATATAAATAAATAATAATAATAAATTATCTATGGTAGGTTAGGATGAAGTAAGATATTCAAGGACGAATTCATGTCTACGAGACCGAAATGCCATTATAATTATTGAGATTTATCAATAACAAGTAATTTATTATAATAAAGATTTTTGTATTTCCCAATAAGTGAAAAACAAAAAGATATTGCTGTTTTTACTGACGTTTCGCTATTTAATGCTAATAGCTTTATCAAAGCAGTATTATTAAACCTAAATTTACAAAATCTCAGCAGATATATAACAAAAAATTAAGGGGTGAGAAAATAGACTATCTAAGTAGTCTAGTCAAGTTAAAAGTCAAAATGATAGTGAAGATCAATCACTAAACTAAACAACAAAAGGTAATAGTACGTCTGTTATGATATCAGAACAAAGTTTACTAACTCGATCATTTTTCGTCAGTCTGAGGTCATGTTTCGTTGTCAAGTTGGTCAATTGGTAAAGATAACAAAACCAAGTGTGGATTGTTGGATTTCATCAGTGTATAAAATTATAAAAACAGTGTGTGTTTACATAGTGAACTTGCATATCACATTCGTGTTGGTTTTGTCACTTCATGGGGGGGGGGAGGTGTTGTAACCAGGTCAGCTTCTGTTTTAGTCCATCATTCCTATTCAGACAATTTGGATTACGCTTGATCATATGAAGTGCTTCTGATGATAGTAGACGTTCTTTGAGATATCTGAAGTTTTTCTGGATTATTTCAATATCGTCAAAATCACTTTTGTGGCCTGACTCTGTAGCATGTAGACCTATGGCTGATGATTTTTCAAGTTTTTCCAGTTCGACTGGATTTCTCCGTGGTCGAAGACATGTGCTACGGTGTTCATTTCTTCTGATTTTGATTTCTCGAAATGTTTATCCGATGTATATCGCATCACATTCCAAGAATTTTATTTTATAGACAATTAGATAGAGAATCTTTAGGGATCTGGTCTTTTATATGGACAAGGTTGTTTCGTAGTGTGCCTGACGTTTTGAAGAAAACTCTAATGTTGAGCTGATTGAGTACTCTTCTGATATCGTCTGACGTCTCTGCTCTATATGGAATGACGACTCTGTTGCGGTCCATGTTTAGTCTAAAACTAAACGATTACGATCACGGCTTGTCGTCGTGATTAAAACGTCACAGGCGTCGACAAGTTGAAGAGTTGCTGAATATTAAATGTGACAAATCAGTGAACCCATCTAATGGTAAAACATATGTAAGGTGTTCAATTTTCATCATCTCTAGTGAGCTGTGCTGCATTATTGTTCCCTTGGGTTCCGAATGGAACACGGGGCTTTAACAGCACATATCCATTTTGTCCTATTTTCTGAAGTCCCCTTCAGCTGACCACACGCCTGCCGATAGTCTCTCATCTCCTTCCCATCACACGGCCTTCTCCATGTCAGTCTACGACACACAACTCGTCGTTCCCCATTCGAGTGATGGCCTCCTGTGCAATGTCACCCGATGGTTTCCTTAGAGTATGCCCAATCCACTTCCATTCTCTCCTACCTATATGTTGAGAAATAAGTTCCTGTACGGTTCCTTCCTAGAGTTTCTTTTTACTAGTTCTTCCAGGCCATTCAATATTCACTATGGAGCCAGAGAAAACAGCAGTTGTTGATAAAAGTCTGCAATAGCCTGTTGGAAATATTTTCTTGACGCGACAATTTTTTGAATCATATAGAAGAACTGACTTAACATTGGTGGTGAAAATGCGAATCTCCTTCTTTATGCTGAGAGTCAATGCAGAAGACTTCCGAACTGGTTCCAGGTTGATGAAGGCGTATCTTGCCTTGCCTTTCCGATTCTGACTTTGATATCTTCATCCGTTCCGACTGCCAGTAGTTATAACGATGCTTCCTGGGTTGGCCAATTGAAGGAGGTAACCTCTGTTAAATCTCGCTCGTTGATCGTGATTGGTGTTGGTTGTTGTTGATTGGTTACGTTCATCATCTCCATCTTCTTTATATTCACCTGAAGTACTGTCTTTGCTGCCAGTGTCTTCCGCCAGTTCCTGCACGTTTACGCGTTTATGTGACATATATCATCTGCGGGACCCAGATCTTCTAGAGTCTTTTTATCGGTGGTCCAACGCATTTCTGTCTCCTCGCTCCTCACAGTCTGACGCATAATTCAGTCCACCACAATTAAGAACATTATCGGTGAGTGATAACAGGCAACCAGCTTGTCTTACTCCTCTCTTCACTTCGAACGCCTCAGTGAGTTCTCCATTGTGGATCACCTGTTACATAGATCTTCTTTTTCCTCCCATCCTCTTCAGTTCAGTCGACGATTGCCTTTAATCTCTCATCTCCTCCTCGCCACACGGTCTCCTGCATATGACTCTCGGACAGCCTACTCGTCACTTCCCATTGGGGCTCCACTCGAGGTCGTGATTCGCGATGTCATTCAGCGGTCTCGTCAATGTCTACCCTACTCATCTCCACTTTCTCCTACATGTTTGTTGAACGATCGTCTCTTGGTTGGTTTTTCTCCCATACTTTCTTGTTGCTAATTCTTTCTAACTGGCCATTTGATCTTCAGTATGGAGCCAGCGAAGGGGGAAGCTGTTGTTAAATGTCTGCAACCTGTTGGAGATAATTTTCGTGACACACACACTGGCCAAGTTTTAATTCGTATAGAAGGACCGGCTTGATATTTGTGCTGAAACGTCCCACGATGATAGAGATATATTCATTCCAGCCAGTTTAACTTTATATATATATATATATATATATTAGCACTGCACTTTTTACACAAACATATCATACCATCTTACTTAGGCTGCCTTGACCTTAAGTGCTTTGAAACTATAATTATATCGTAAAGCAGGAGCATTAATCACAACCTAAGAAAACATTCAGTAATTTATTTATTGTGATAAGAAACTTATAGTAGAAACTGGTGATGATGACGACAATCACGGAATTGTGTTCTTTTTCTCTAACTCTATACATCAAAAGTACACCTTTTTGTAATCATTTTAGTTTTTTAAATTTGTTTTTAAATTATAAAGTTAAATGAAACAAAGAATAAACCATTAAAAGATTAGATTTTTATTTATTTTTGATTACAGCTTGATTCCACACTGTACTTTTGATACAGGTATGGAATTTTCAGCATGTGATATCGGTAGTCCAAATTTTGCAGGCCGACCATAGATAACAGGTGTGCATCAGCAGGGGATCGAACCTCGGACTATGTGCCACCGACGCAGATTATATTGTGGCGTTTGCTACTTATAAATAGCATGTTGATGACGTTTTCTACAAGAATCTCAAAAAAGCAGGCCGACAGATGAGGTTGCACACAGGAGAAATAAAGTTCATTGTTAAAAACAATAGAGAAAAACAACAGCGCGAATAGCTTAGTAGTAACGTCTGTAACTGCAGTGCTAGATAACAAGAGTTGGAGTCCCAGAGTGGTGGGGTGGGGGCGGGGAGCCATTAATTCTGGGTACACCTGGATACACAGAGTATCCTGTTGATTTCGTGCAACTACCTGACATGTTTAGCATTCCAAAAATAATCAACAGTAATTATACGCGTACTCATTGTCAATGCTTTGAGATATACTACACTATTATTAAGCATTTCACACATTAGATACCAGCATATTGACGGCATCTGTTGGATGAAACATCCTTTATTTTATCCGAACTGTAGTCTGTTGGGGAGTAAGAGGAAACTACGAAAAGACGTCGACGGGTAACGCCGTCCTTCCTTCTTCTGACTAACCCATTCAGACGGACAGCACACATACGACTACCAAATCAGATCCAGTCACGAAGTGATTTTTCTGCCTTAACACTCAAAGCTATCCCTACGCCTGCGAGTCCTCGCGAACTGACGGAGGGGTCTCCTGACACCCTTAAAGTGAATTCTGAAGATTAACCTTTTTGGCCGAGTGAGGTTAAGTGAATGACCACACTCAGATCTTGTATGGGTGTCTCTGAAACACAACATACACCCATGGCTCGAGATTCCAGAGTTCTTGCTAGTGATGCCTGTTGTCCGATTAGGCAGAGGGTCCTGACGTTAAATGCTCCTATATGAAGTTGGCGACGTGGCTTTAAGAGGCTATCTGGGTGTTTCTATGGCTCTCACAGTTGTTTGTGGTCACAGAGTGAAGTGAAGATGACTCAGTAGTCTGAAGAATAGTACCGACTGTAGTAGGGGAGTAAGATGATGAAGGTGATGTGGGTAAAGAAGAATGATGCTCAGGAAGGCTTCGTGTGCTTTTGGGAGTGTGTGTTCGGTTGTTACTTCCCGGCTACGTACATGGTGGAAGTCGATTGATTCTTCCGGTACCTGAAACAGAAAGAGAACTAGTGTTGCGTAACCACAGAGGCCGATCGACAATTTCTTGGTGCTGGCCGGTCTTAGACGGCCTGTATGAACTGGTTTCTGGAATTGGTTTCGTATTAGTAAACTTACCGCCGGTTACGGATCGCTGTAAGGTTAAGTCGGGATGTACAATTGTTGGGGTCGACCTTTTCTTACCCTCTCTCTCCAGAGTGGAGAGACAGCATAGCTGGCTAGCATGCTGGTCATCTATTAGCACCAACGGACTGATTGGCGATGAAATCTCAGCACGGATCCGAAAAGCTCGAGCTGCTTTCGCTGACTTACACCATCTCTGGCGTAGGCGTGACATCCGGTTATCAACCAAGGGACGTGTGTACTGCTCACCAGTTCGCTCCGTCCTTGTCTATGCCTCTGAAACATGGCCAATACGCGTTGAAGACATGAAAAGGTTGACTGCTTTTGATCATAGATGTCTGCGATCTCTGTCTCACGTTAGGTGGTTTAATAAGGTAAGTAATGTTGATGTTAGGCGTAGTGTTGGGCAAAGAGGGAAAATCAATCGACGAGGCTATAAAGTTACATAGACTAAGATGGCTAGGTCACGTGGTGCGCATGCCTAACCACCGCCTCCCCCGACGGGCATTACTAGCTGATATAGGTGCAGGTTGGAAAAGAGCCAGTGGTGGCCAAACAAAAACATGGCCTCATCAATCCACGAAATCCTTGACAGTAAAACTGAGTCAGGTAGGGAGGGAGATGCAGACTCCCGGGTTGGGGCCCTCGGGACACTAGGAATCAATGGCTGGAGACTATAGGTGACATGGCTCAAAATCGTTGTCAATGGCCAGCGCAGATGTATTCAGTTTCTGTAATCTTTCATATTCCTTTCTACCATTACCCATTCTGTTTCACTCTTATACTTGTCAGACTGTATTGAATTTCTTCACTCATCTTCTTGTCTACCTCTGTGTGCTATTTGGAACGTGGCAACTCGAACTGCTGCACTTCGGTGCCAAGTTCTATGTTGAATCCAGACAGACAGAGATGCTGGTCATCTGAGGGAAACACCTCACTGCTGTTACATTTTTGTTCCCCAGCGGTACGACTTCACCTACAGACCCCTAGCATAGTGTAACAACAAAAAATTTTCACATTCTGGCGGTAACTGCTTTTAGTCTAATTGCTATCCTAACAACCTTCCTGGCATGGTAGGACCTAGTGGAGGAACAAAAGTCCCGGCCAGTATAGTTTGTTAGATCATTGCGATGTGCAAGCCCCAACACCACTTCAGGGTAACAGCTAACGGTCGGGGTTGTCGACCAGAGGGCGTGTATACTCCTCAGCATTTCCCTCTGTCCTCCTTTATGGTCGTCAGGCGTGTCCATTGAGAGTGGAAGACATGGAAAAGCTGACTAGCTGCCTTTGATCATAGGTACCTGCGTCCTATCTCCCATATGTGTTAAGTAGCATAATAGAGTGAGCAATATGGAGGTTAGGCGTCGAGTGCTAGGTAATGAGGGAGGGAAAATCAATAGACGAGGCTGTGAAGTTACATCGATTGAGGTGGTTAGGACATGTGTTACGCTTGCATGTCTAACCACCGTCTTCCTCGATCGGCTGACAACATATGATAGATGAAGTTGGAAAAGAGTCAGTGGTTGTCACACCGAAACATGGAATCAGTGCATTAAATCCTTTTTGAGTTGGATAAGTTGAATATCGTAGTGGACTACAGTTATTATAAAAAGATTTGAAACCAAATCTAGTTTATACTATTATATTAACTTAGACTGAATAAAAACAGTTCAAATTATGACATTTGACTTTCTAAGCAAGCGTGACTATACTAGGCCACAAATACACCTCGATGATGAATCCTTATGAAGTTTCCTGTTGAATTATTGCACTGTTTTGTATTAGTGAAAGCGCTTTTAAGTTGAAATAAGCTGGAAGAAAAAGTTAAAACTTCAGAACAATAATCAGCGAAGGGAAACTCTCTCCAACATCGACTTTATTATCAAGCTGTACAATCGTATATATATATATATATATATGCTGGAAAGGGGTGCATAATTATAGGATTATAGGATTAGTAGACGAATATAAAATGTTACATAACATGGTGTGAAATTTGATAAGACAGAATTCAATATTGTAAAATTAAAAAAATAAAAAATTCTGGATTTAGATTGACAAGTGGGATAAGTGGAAACAATTCAGAGTGAGAATAATAATACTAATACTAATGATAATCGTAGTAATAAGGGAAAGGTTCATAGAATAACTAAATAAATAAAATAAATAAATGTCTATCCTTTTACGGTCCAGACAGAAGTAGGAATTGTACATACTTCTTTTGTACACAAAGGTCTGGCTTAAAGTCATGAATTGCCAAGGCGTCTCCACTGTCTTTAGAAGTCTGTAACGAAGAAAACTCAATCAGCAAGGATTCAGTAGATGATCTTAAAATCATGAACACGCTTGGCAGAATGACAGAGGTTGATCAAGTGTTGTAGAATAGAGCTTCTCACACACTTTCTTTTTCCCTTGTAAAACCATGCTGGAATATGTTCTCGTATCCGTGTGGAACGAGTCCTCTGGGTATGGCCAATGTACCTTGCTCCACAAAAGCAGGTGAACTGCTAGATGCACATGGAGGCGGCCAAACGGGGGAACTTATGTTTTATAGAGATAGAGAACAACTTGCGGCTGATGAACATCATTTGTAATTTTACTGCAAAGAACGTCTTGCTGACTGCTTTAGATAGACGATTTTTGAACATGTCTGAAGCTTGATCGCCTTTGAATCACATGTTCATGAATAAGGTCTTCTTGATGACCGCGTTTTCTATGTTACAGACTTCTAAAGACAGTGGAGACGCCTTGGCAATTCATGACTTTAAGCCAGACCTTTGTGTACAAAAGAAGTATGACAACCCCTACCTCTGACTTGGCCGTAGAGGCATAGATATTTATTTATTTTGTTTATTTAGTTATTCTATGTACTTTTCCCTTATTACTACGATTATTATTATTATTATTCTCATTCTGAATTGTTTCCATCTGACCGACCTGTCATTCTAAACGCAAAATTATTAGCTTTTATTTTTACAATATTGAATTCTATCCTATCGAATCCCATACCATATTATGTAACATTTTATATTTCCAAGCATTGGTTTTGTAGGGAATTTTGTGTTTGATTGCATTGAGGATGTCATTATGAGCTGACATTAGTTAGAAAACCACCGGAAAACCTAGAAGTACTGGACAGCTGTTTCGTTCTAGTTTGAGACTCTTCAGTAGTATGCACCCACTGACAGGGTTCAAAACCACGACCTTCTGGTTACAAGGCTAGCGAACTCAAAGACCATGGAGCTACTGGGACCCAATCCAATGGCCAGCTGATGAATTCTAACTTCTGGCAATCTACGACATAGCGGGACCATTTCGCAATGTCTTCTTCGATGAGTTACTGTCTCATCTTCAAACTGCTGTACCCTACTGGCCACGGCTTCTCACTAGAACCCCAGGTTAACTGACTGAATAGGGCAAGTCACTAGTGAGCATCAGATTAATTTTCAAGTATTAGTTTTATAGGGATTTTTGTGTTAGATTGCATGCAGGATTTCATCATGAGCTGACATCAGCTCAATGGTCTATGAGCTCGCCTTGTAACCAGAAAGTCCTGGGTTCGACCCCTGGTGTGCGCGTACTGATGAAGAGTCCCAAACTAGGATGAAACAGCTGTCCAGTACTCCCACATTTTATATTCGCCTACTAATCCTATAATTATGCACATCTTTCCAACAATATCTATAAATCTTATGTATTATTCTAAATATGACATTAATTGTTTTGCCACTTGACATTTAACTATGATTATAATCACAAATATTTTAAATGCATTTCATACTATTATTATTTTATGCATTCACACCTATGATCTAATTCCCTCACTGGATATAATTTCTTTATAAAACCATATATATATATATATATATATATATATATATATATATATATATATATACGATTGTACAGCTTGATAATAAATTCGTTGTTGAAAAGAGTCTCATCACTGAATATTGTGTTCTTAATGCTACAATGGGAATTATTAAATTATTCAAAAAAAAAAAAATAGCAGACATTTAAACTCACCCTAAATTTACTACAATTTTACTATCCGTTCGATTAGAAAGAAATCGTATTTTCAATTGTAAACAAGCTACTGGAAGGGATTTCTGAAATGTATACAATGTCTGTTTATTAATATTGTCAGTTTCATCATTTAATTTACGTCTTGTTGATTGATGAATCATTGTTTTAGTTGGTTTTGTTGTTGTTGTTCTTCTTCTTGGTGGTGGTAGTGGTGAGGGTGGTCTTGGTGTGACTGATCTGAAGGAAGAGATAGACGTTGAAGAAAACAATGGAAATCTCGACGGTGATCCAGTAGATGACAATGTTGCACTTGTGACATCCTCTGGTGCAATAGGTTTATGCGTTATAAAATATTTAGGCCAATGAATGCTTAATTTCATATAAGAACTTTCATTCTGACTGATTGAAGAGCATGGGAAATAATTGATTTTTGGAATAATTACAGCAGGGAATTGAGGATAAGTATTGGACAAAGTTTCACGCTATAATATGAAATAGGGAGAGAGAGAGAGAGAACATAGGAGAAGAAAGAGAAGCATACGATAAGATGTGTTCAAGCGATCACTGACATTCACAAAATAGTTATATTAATTGAGCGCGTTGATTCCCAAATGAAATAAAGCGTTATTCTGATGACAACAGAGAACAAGTTTGGTGACAATAGTACAGATTTATCCATGTCTTTTCTCTTTACAATGGTTGGAGTATCATATTTCTCTATTTTTTTTATTTTCCACCATGCCCCACTATCTATTTAATGAGCATAAATATTATGGTAAGCTTGGACCACTAAACAGTAATGATATAATTTCCAAATTCCCATTTACACGCATTTAGAAAAAAGAAACAAAAACAGGTTAAGCGAAGAAATATGCATTTTTTTCCAATTAGTTCCTCACCATCGGTTCCACCACACTAATATACGGTTTCTAACATCAACATTTTATCAGTTAAGTGGTTATTTTAGTTAATCAGTTTTAGTTATTGGGGGAGAGGGGGAGGGTAAAATTAAGAGGTTAAAGGTCATCGAAACAATTAACTAATAGATGTTGTTATTATAATTATTATAATTGTTTCCTTTAGTTCCTAGAGGAACATAGGGCTTTAGCCGAACATCTTCATTGAGTTCGCTTCTCTGCCAACGTTTTCACTTGGCTCCACGTCTACTCGCATGCTTTCATCTCCTCTTCACATGACATCCTCCATGTCACCCTCGCACTGACAACCAACACTTGGTTTGTTTTCTCAGAGTATGGCCTCCAATCCACCTGCATTTCTTTCTGCGTATTCGTTGCACAGTTGGTTCCTGCTGTGTTGGTTCGTTCCTAGAGATCCCACCCTGTTGCTGATCTTTTTGGCCGGCCACCTGGTCTTGAGTAGTATTGAGCGAAGACAGCTGTTGATGAATGTCTGTAGTTTATTCTAATTACCTCTCGTAACGAGGCGCCAAGTCTCTGAAGCTTATAGTGAGTAGCACTGACTTCACATTGGAGTTGAAAATCTTCATCTTGTTTTTGATGCTGAGTGCTGTTGACCTCCACAAAGACTTGAGTACTAATAGATTTTAGTAACAAGATATCCAAGTTCTAAAGAAGGGGTGAAAATCAATTACAGAATTCAAGATAAGTTGACTCTTAGGCGTCAGTTAACAATTAGCTAACTAGTTAATTAACTCATTAAACTATTAACTTGTTTGTATTTTACGTAATCTTCTGAGTCATTCTATTCTTCTTAGTCATCATTATTTTACAAATTTCTTGATTACTTAGTGATATAAGCCTTATTGCAAATGATGACTAATTAACTCAAGAATTAACTGTTACTGATACCAATAGTTGATAGTAATAATAATTTTCAAGAATTGGGTTTTGTAGGAATTCTGTTTGTTTCAGGTTAGATGACGGATTGATATCAGTTAGAGAACAACCGTTGAAAACCGGGAATACTGTTTGGGGCTCATTGGCAGTACACACCCACCGCCGGGGTTTGAACCCAGGACCTTCCAGTTACAAAGCAAGCTAATATACCATTCTGATGCTCGCTAGTGACTGGCTACAGGAAGAAGTTGCATGGAGTTTTAATGAGAAGTCCTAATCAGTGAAGTCAATCCAGTCGGAAGTGAGGATGGAGTTCTCGCTGATGACATTAGGTGGTGCCAGTTGCGCTAAAATCCCGAATTGGTGGGAGTTAGGATTCATCGGCTGGCTGGCCACTGAATCCGGCCCCGGTGGCTAAATGGTATACAAGCTTGCCTTGCAACCGAAAGGTCCTGGGTTTGAAACCCAGGGGATGTGAGTACTGTCGATGAGTTGTAAACTAGGATGAAACAGCTATCCAGTGCTCCTTGGGTTCAAATGGTTCTTTAATTGATATCAATTCGTGGTCTAACCAGAAATAATAACGGTAGGAGACATGTCAAGAGACTTGCTAACGGAACGCTTATTTGGAATTTGGTATCTTTATGTAGGACAACTATGTACACCTTATCTGAAAATCGTCATTTGCACATATCTTCCGTGTTGTGCTACTTCTGTCCTTCATATTGTGCTTCTTTGTGTCGTTTTCACGTATTCCATTTATCTATACAACGCTGTATCAGTTGCTTTCTCTGGCATTAAATGTATCTCCCTGCTATTTGATGTTTTTATGCCGATGAACGCCTCTTTATGTACTACTGATAAGCCTTATCAGTGGCAGACGCCACACTCGTTCCCCTATGAAATAGTTTCGAACAGAGCCACCCCGACCTTCTTGATTCTACCCGTTCCTATTGTACTTTGTTGCTGGTTTCTTTATCCCATTGTACCATTTCTGCAGTTGAATGATGTTAACTGGTTTCTATTTGTTTCCTCGCCGATGATATATGTGTGATTTCCCACTAACTGGAAGATGTGAAAGTAAAAAAGCGAGAATTTGGCAGAAGAAGCATCAAAGATAGGAATTCAGGTGAACATACAGAAGACAGATGTGATGAAGATTTCTGGGCGACAAAAACAACAGACAACAATCAGCATAAATGGGAGGAACCTGAAAGAAACAACCTCCTTTATCTACCTTAGAAGCATCGTCGTTTCAACTATGGGTGGACGGAACTGACGAGGATATCAAAGCCAGGATCGGAAAAGCAAGACAAGCTTTCATTACTCTCAAGTCTGTGTGGAGGTCAACAGCACTCATCATGAAAAATAAGATGAGGATTTTCAACTCCAATGTGAAGTCAGTGCTACTCACTATACGGATCAGAGACTTGGTCAGCGCATCATAAAGAGCACCTCAAACAAACTACAGACCTTCATCAACAGTTGTCTTCGCTCAATACTCAAGATCAGATGACCGGCCAGAAAAGATCAGCAACAAAGATCTCTGGCAATGAGCGAACCAACCAGGAACAAATTGTGCAACAAATAGGCAGGAAGAAATGGAGGTGGATTGGCCATACTCTGAGGGAAACCATCAAGTGACATCAATAGACAAGCCCTCGAGTGGAACCCGAAAGGGAAGTGGCAAGTTGATCGTCAGTGCAAGGGTGACTTGGATGAGCTCATATGAAGAGGAGATGAAAACATTTGGGCAGACTTGGAACCAGGTGAAAACTCTAGCAGAGAACCGAATGCAATAGAGACGCGCGGCTGAAGCCCTATGTTCCTCTAGGAATTAAAGGAAATAATAATAATAAATAATTTGATGGTGAAGATAGGATCACGTCTCTCGTTGACGGTGTATGATCCTTCCCACTTCGGAAGGAGTCTCTATGATCCTAACCCACATCTAACTTCATACCTTCTTTATTTACACTTTCCTTGGTCCTCGACCTCAAAGGTTATGCATCCCATCTTTTCTTAGTGTTCAGATTTCGCGACGTTTTTCAATCTGTTTATGCTTTACATTCCTAACGGTTTCTTTGTCTGTTCCGTTCGCAGCCCCGCCATAATCCATTGGTAGCTGGTTCCCATCGACGTTTCCTTCAGGATAGCTGGCATTCTGAGATACAAACAGTTGTATCTGTAGCACACGCCATATATATATATATATATATATATATATATATATATATATATATATATATATATAATGAAGACGAATGTATGAACAAGTAGAAAGTATGCGTAACATTTACAAAAATTCTGTGGCCAAAGGAAAAAAATTCCAAATGAATAATGGGATTTTTCCCACCTGAGACTGAATATTTATTTATATATTTCTTTATTATTTCACAAAATGTCAAATGAAATATGTAATTACTTTAAAGTATGAATAATTTAGAAAGGCAAACAGATGGGACAGAGATACACACACGCACACAGGCGCTTTGCCATTTACAACTGCACACAAAATCACAAAGCAATCGGTTTTCTTATAAAATGCAATGAAAGATGAGAGTTAAGGTGGGCGTCTTTTTTTTCTCCCATACAAACAGTTATTTAAAAGGCTATTATTCTATACAAAAACAGAGATACCGATGTAGAAGGCATCTCCAAATTTGGTATGTGTAAGGCTTAAGGCCAAACAAAATGATAACCTGGTATTTAACGACAAAGAAATCGATCCACTCGTGCACAGTGATGACTTCATCATCAGTCAATCTGTCTGTTTTCGACATAGAACTTTGCACAAATGTGCGGCAGTTCAAGTCGCCACACTCCATCAGTCAATGAAAGCAATGACAGTTAGTTTGAGCCAGCCAGTCACGTCTGCCCGTCTGTCTGCTTTTGACATAGAACTTTGCACCGATGTGCAGCAGTTCAAGTCGACACATTCTCCCCATGTAGCACGCGAAGCAAGAGAATAAAGTACAAGAAGAGCAAAATAGAGACAGTAAACAGAGACGTGAGACATAGGAGTAGTACTAACGAAGAACAGTGTCATTGGAAATCGTAAGTCACAAGGAGTGGATGCGTCTGCGCTGTCATTTGGAACGATTTTGAGCAATATCACCAATTGTTTCCAACGACTGGTTTTTACCGTCCCGAGGACCCCCACCAGTCAGTTAGGAAGTCTACACCTTCCTACGTGGCTTAAACTAACTGTTGTAGGTTTCATTGACTGGCGCCATGTTTTGGTTTGACCGCCGCTAGCTGGCTGTTTTCCAGCTTGACCCCTTTGTCAACTAACATTACTCGTCGAGGAAAGCGATGGCTAGGCATACGTAACACATGGCCTAACCATCTCAATCGATGTAACTTCACAGCCTCGTCGATTGATTTCCCCTCCCACCTATCTTGACGACAGTTCATATGAACAAAATCTGGAACCTTCAAGTTCGTAGGCGTGCTCGTTGACCGATCAGCCACTGCATTGGAAACCGATATCATATAAATTCTGACTTGTCTTTCCATGCCATGTAATCTGATATGTATCCACATATATATATTTATGTGTGTGTGTATGTTGGTCTCTTTCTGTTTGCTCGCTTAGTCTGTGACCATTTCACTTGTATGAACTTGTCTCCTTTAATAATGTTTATTCTCCTTATATTATATTA